CTTCAGATGAATGACAGGAAGTAGCTCCACCACCTCACTGCCTTCAGCTGCACAACAGGAAGTAGCTCCACCACCTCACTGCCTTCAGATGAATGACAGGAAGTAACTCCATCACCTCACTGCACTGCTGCAGGAACAACGTGTTGGTTTATTGTTCTGATGCTCAGACTCCACAGGTCTGGAGGAGGCCTGGTGATAAGATCCACCTTCAGCCTTTAGACTGCAGCTGACAGTTGGAGGTCTGAGGTCAAAGGTCACTCTGTATGTGATTTGTTTGCTTCTCTTCAGGTCTGATTACATCTTCCAAACCTGCTGATTTAATGTGTGAGAACAAACGACACGTGGCTGCACGTTAGCACAACCACAACATTAAAACAGTAAAATGTGTTCTCAACAAACTGACCCTGGACCAGGTCTCACTCATCCAGTATGTGTCTGGTTCGTTTTACGATGATTTAATAAACACGAGAACACGTTTAATGTATAAAACTCATCAGACAGAAGCTGAACAGCCTCACAACCCTCATCTGTTTCTTATTCCTAGACAGATGGTGTTCCTGCAGCAAACAGGAAAAGACTCAAACTTCCACTTTGTTGGAATGTCAAACATTCTCTTCGGCTCGTTTCACCTCCACCTGATCCGGTCACCGTGAGGCTCATTAAAAACGGTACTGTAGACTGATCTAAACCGTTTGATGACGTTTGTCAAACCGTGGAGAATGTGTCCTTAAATTAAAGGTCTGTATTAAACATGTGTGACCAGATTTAATTTCATATGGAAATACTTCCGATCAGCCGAAGGGACTGAAAACAGCCGAACAAACAGGCAAAGTCTGCGGGACTCTAGGACAGGCCGCCGGCATGTCAAACTTTGTTACAAACGGGGGCCAAAATTAAAAAGTTGGATTAAACCAAAGTCAGTTTCCATCAGCAGGTTACCTCAGGTCTTCCTGGTTTATTTGAAATAAAATAGTGATTTTTATTTAACTGGTTCATCTTTGAAGGCTCTCAGCCTGAAATAAAAAATTAAAACTGTTATTTTTACAATTACTAACGTGCACGTGTAAAATCCAGCAGCACATGCTCAGATTCATTTGTAGCTTTTTTCCAGGATTGAAGGTTCAACTCTGGTGTTTTGCTGCTTTACACCTGACTTTATTGACAGCTTTATACAAACGTACTTATAAATTAGTTGTAATTATATTTTACACCGAGATCAAAATGTTGGCGTGTAATGATGTCAGAATGAGCAGCTGAAACAGGAAGACCTGAACACTGGAACTCTGATCAACCTTTGATAAAAGTGAACACAGCCAAAACAAATTATTTCTAATCATTTGTGTATTTTGTTGGATAAAGAGGCTGCTGCAACAACCATGAACAGATTAGATGTTACAGAACGTTGAGCAGATCATTACTTCCTGAACAGAAGGTGCTAACCTTCTCAAACAAAGTAAAATGTTACGTTGAAACAACTTTTTACTGTAAACTGTAAAACTTTATTAGGAGGTAAAGACCTGGATCTGAACAACCAATGAGAAGAGACCCAACTGAAACTAACAGGAAGTGGAACGTAAGAGACACAAACAGATAAATGTACATGTCAGTCAATGTCAACAACTCTGAAAGCACATGTTTACATGGCAACAACAAGTAAACATTTGACACGTAGTTCTGAAGAGCAAAGCGTTGGATGTGGGAGGAGTCACCCTAAATCAGAAAAACCAATCAGATCCATCAAAGCTCCTGATGTTAACAGCTGCAAACATAAACGTGAAACAGAACAGACCGTTTACATGGAGCCTACAGAGTCAGTCCACTATCAGCATCACATCTGGACTGTTTATTTACATCTGTCGCAGTGTTTAGCTACTTTAGCTGCTAGATGTGAGCAGGACATTCTACGTCAGTCAACAGGCGTGTTCGAGTGTCAGAGCAGGTAAACGTCAGTCAACAGGCGTGTTCGTGTGTCAGAGGCAGGTAAACGTCAGACAACAGGCGTGTTCGTGTGTCAGAGGCAGGTAAACGTCAAACAGGCGTGTTCGAGTGTCAGAGGCAGGTAAACGTCAGTCAACAGGCGTGTTCGAGAGTCAGAGGCAGGTAAACGTCAGTCAACAGGCGTGTTCGTGTGTCAGAGGCAGGTAAACGTCAGTCAACAGGCGTGTTCGTGTGTCAGAGGCAGGTGAAGGCTGACAGGCGTGTTCGTGTGTCAGAGGCAGGTGAAGGCTGACAGGCGTGTTCGTGTGTCAGAGGCAGGTGAAGGCTGACAGGCGTGTTCGTGTGTCAGAGGCAGGTAAACGTTGCTCAAGAGGTGTGTAACCGTGTGCTCATGTGTCAGAGGCAGGTAAACGTCGGTCAACAGGTGTGTTCATGTGTCAGAGGCAGGTGAAGGCTGACAGCTGTGTTCATGTGTCAGAGGCAGGTAAAGGCTGACAGGTGTGTTCATGTGTCAGAGGCAGGTAAAGGCTGACAGGTGTGTTCATGTGTCAGAGGCAGGTAAAGGCTGACATGTGTGTTCGTGCGTCAGAAGCAAGTGAAGGCTGACAGGCGTGTTCGTGTGTCAGAAGCAGGTGAAGGCTGACAGGCGTGTTCGTGTGTCAGAAGCAGGTGAAGGCTGACAGGCGTGTTCGTGTGTCAGAGGCAGGGGAAGGCTGACAGGTGTGTTCATGTGTCAGAGGCAGGTGAAGGCTGACAGGTGTGTTCATGTGTCAGAGGTAGGTGAAGGCTGACAGCTGTGTTCATGTGTCAGAGGCAGGTAAAGGCTGACAGCTGTGTTCATGTGTCAGAGGCAGGTAAAGGCTGACAGGCGTGTTCGTGTGTCAGAGGCAGGTGAAGGCTGACAGGCGTGTTCGTGTGTCAGAGACAGGTGAAGGCTGACAGCTGTGTGTCAGAAGCAGGTGAAGGCTGACAGGCGTGTTCGTGTGTCAGAAGCAGGTGAAGGCTGACAGGCGTGTTCGTGTGTCAGAGGCAGGTGAAGGCTGACAGGCGTGTTCGTGTGTCAGAGGCAGGTGAAGGCTGACAGGCGTGTTCGTGTGTCAGAGACAGGTGAAGGCTGACAGCTGTGTGTCAGAAGCAGGTGAAGGCTGACAGGCGTGTTCGTGTGTCAGAAGCAGGTGAAGGCTGACAGGCGTGTTCGTGTGTCAGAGGCAGGTGAAGGCTGACAGCTGTGTGTCAGAAGCAGGTGAAGGCTGACAGGTGTGTTCATGTGTCAGAGGCAGGTGAAGGCTGACAGGTGTGTTCATGTGTCAGAGGCAGGTGAAGGCCGACAGGTGTGCTCACAGGTAACACTTACCTCCCACCTCCTCCACACCTTCCAGCAGCATATCTTTGGTAAAGGTGGATATCTGTCCGGTGAAGGACGACAAGCTGCCGCTGACCTGACCCAGAGACTGGCCCAGGCCAGAACCCAGTCCGCCCAGCCACGACGACATGTCCAGAACTGGCCCAAACAACAACACAACACTGCTAGCTCCGCCTGTAGCACACGGTCCACCGGGTCATCGGCTCCACTGCAGGTTCGACACTCCAGAACCGACTTAATCCACCTTTGTGGGTCGGTACCAGAGTCAACACAAAGCGGGTTAACAGCAGCAACAGGTCGGTTCCAGGAAAGACTCGGTGAAAACAAACATTGGACCGGGTTCTGCTCAGCTGTTTGAAGTCTACGAACCTAAAAGTGCCACCTCGACTGTAGCCATTATCATCAGTTCCTGACAGCTGTGACGTAAGCCGGAGCTCCGCCGCGGTGCATTGTGGGATACTGGAGGACCAACAAAGAATCTTCCCTCGAGCCGGAAGAAGCTGCGGCTCAGCCATCACGGAGGTTTCTTTTTTGTATAATGTCAAAAATCTGTCATTTTTCTAAATTACAACCTTATGGTTTTAATGGTTTTAATAAATAATAAGAAATAAAATGATATAGTTGTTGTAAAGTTTTTTTTTTTTTTAGATTTAGTAGAGGAATAATATTAAGTGTTTATTTTTTTTACCCAAAAAAGTTCAATCTGGTCCTCTGGACATTCAAAAAAACAAAAGCAAAACAAAGCAAAAGCAAAAAAAAAAAAAATGTAGAAACGTTTCGTCTCTCATCCAAGAGACTTCCTCAGTCTGAGGTGCTGTTTTCAGCTCAGTCTCTTAAATAGCACCTTCTCAGAGTGGATCAACCAGTTTTGCTGCTGACAACCAAAACCAGCTGATCACATGCTCAAGAAGGACCATCAGCCTAACAATGGGTCATTAGCACACTGATGGCTGTTTACTGTTCACAGAGGGCTGAGTGATACTAGCAATCACAGCATTGTAAGAGGGGGACAGTTGAACCCGGAGGCCTCCACCCCTGTTTAATGATGGACGATTTCTTTTCACAAAGATGGCCTCCTTTACTCCTCTCTCAAACCATCGTTCCTCTCTGTCCAGGATGTGAACATCTTCATCCCTGAAAGAGTGACCGCTGGCCTGGAGATGAGTGTAGACCGCAGAGTCCTGGCCTGATGATGTTGATCTTCTGTGCTGGGCCATCCTTTTGGCCAGTGGCTGTTTAGTTTCCCCCTGTTTAGTTTAGTTTAGGGGACTGAGCTGAAAACAGCACCTCAGACTGAGGAAGTCTCTTGGATGAGAGACGAAACGTTTCTAGATTTTTTTTTTGCTTTTGCTTTGTTTTGCTTTTGTTTTTTTGAATGTCCAGAGGACCAGATTGAGCTTTTTTGGATTTTTCTACCTGGATTATTGAGCATGCATCAGGATATTTATTTTTTTACATTTTCTTACATTTTTTTTCAATTTATATGCCTTCTTTTAATATTGTCTACTGTTGTTACATTCTTTGTTAAAAACAGGTCTCTCTTGTAAATGAGTCCTCGACGCTCAACGTCCTGTATAAATAAAGGTTGAATTGAAAATCAAACATTTGTGCTCGATACAGCCGTTGAAGGACTCGATGAGACAAACAAATTGACCTGTAGGGGACGCTATAAACCAAAACATACATTATAAAGTTTGGCACAGGCTATTAGGGCTTTGCCCTGACGTCAAAGCTAATTGTGATGACGCTCAGGTAGTGGGCGTGGCCTATAGCATCTTAAAAATACACTTTTCACAAAGTCGGACATGTAGCCTTACCAAAAAGAAAGTAACTTCTATAATATAAACTGCATGGAGCTACAATGATCAGAATGCTTTGATCTAATCTAAATCAGCGGCCACATCAACTTTGATGCTCCTTTGATCAACTTTACTAATGGGTTTACTTTAGAACAGACCATTGTTCAAGCTTATCAAAATGTGCAAACCTTTAAACATAATATCAACTTTGGGGGCAGCTGTGGCTGAGCGGTAATGTTGAAGTGTCCCTGGGCAAGACACTGAACCCCTCATTGCCTCTGATGTGTCCCATGAATGTGATCTAAAGTTGATTACCGGTAGTCTGTACAGATTCAGATGGTCTTTGTAGAGATGTAGTGGAGTATGAAGCTGTATGACGCAATATGTATGTTTGTGTGTGTTGGAGGTAAATGAGGACACAGAGTGTGTTGTAAATACCTTATAGAGTATCTGGATTAGATAGAAAGGAACTATTTACCATATCTTCCAAGGACTTAGACTTTATCACCGTATTAAAAATGTTTTAATTCTAAAAATTAAAAAAATGTTTATCACAAAAACAGCTAATTTCTCACGTCAACAGTGTCTCTACTGAAGGGACACAATGTTGGTCTCAACATTTTATTTGACCAATTCTCCTTCCTGGGTTGTTACTTTTATCTCCAGCAGTCACCGTGTGAGGCGGGGGACACATGGACAGGTCTTTGGTTCAACACAGGGACACATGGACCGGTCTTTGGTTCATCACAGGGACACATGGACAGGTCTTTGGTCCATAACAGGGGCAGAGACAATCATTCACTCTTTCACCTGGGGACACTTGGAGCCACCGATGAACCCGACGTGGAGGTTTGGTCTGGTGGAGGAAATGAAGAGTACCAGGAGAAAACTCACGGGGAGAACATGCAAACTCCTCACAGAAAGGGCGGGAGGCGAACATGTGACCTTCATGCTGAGGCAGCAATTTTAACCCCTGCTCCACCAAGTTAAATTTTTGTTTCTGTAAAACTTGTGGATATAAATGAAAACGTGTTCTTTAAGCAACGTTTGCAGGATGTTCTGTCCCATGTTGAGAACATGATGCCACCACCGCCGTGCTCCACAGATGGGACAGATTTAATGTCTTAAAAAAAGACGTTAATCTAAACCTGACGTGATCCTAAAGCCGTCCGTCTGTGGAACCGTCTCACACATCAGTGTTCTGTCCACAGAAGCCTGGAACGGAGTTTAAATTCTGAGCACCGTCTGTAACAAACATGAAACGATGGTTTGAGTCCCCGCAGCACGTTTTAGGTCAGAAGAACAACACTGCTGCCTTATTAAAAGCTTTATTTTGACATGGTGGCAACTGTAATCTGTGAAATTACAGAAGATGATGTGAAGAAGAATTACAGTTCCGATTCTCCCGTCTGGAGACGTCACATCTCTGTAGTCCCTTCAAAACCCAAAACAACCGTCAGCCAAAAATCCTCCGTCAGAACCAAAATAAACGTAAGTTCATCATAAATCTGTGCAAATCAGGGAGTCGGGTCCCAGAGCCCGTCTTCCAGCAGCTTCCTCACACCGAAGGCCAAACCAACGGACTATCTTCCATCAGGACGGCTGTGCATCTCAGGTGTGTAGGTCAGAAGAACGATCATGACCCACAGGTGCAGAACCACCTGAAACGAGAGCAAGACGACGAATGAAGGTTTGACCGAGCAGCCAGACTCAGCCGCTTCCTTAAGGAGCCTCACCATGTAGAGGATCACAAACACCCGGGCTGCAGGGTACCGCCTCAGGAAGATCCCGAGTCTTATGCTGCGGGAACAAACATGTTAAAGCACAGGTCCATTCAGCTGTCGATCATCCCAGAATCACAGCGCCACCCACCTGAAGCGGTCGATAGTGCTGGCTGCTTTACGGACCTTCCCGTAAACTCCGGGACTGTCGTGGTCACTGAAGAGCACGGGGCCGCTCCTCTGCCGGGCCCCTGGAGGTCAGAGACACGTTATTTAACTCGTCAGAGAGAACTGACATTTACCGTCATCGTACTGAAGAACAACGAGCACAAGTAAAAACAGTTTAATATAAAACAAAACCAAAAATATATAGTTTTTAAATTCTATTTATATATAAATAATTCAGTGGAACTTAACTGACCTCAAACAGGAAAGATTTAGTCTGACTGGACCTAAAACCAGGTCAAAGGTCAGAGAGAAGCGTGGAACAAACGGTCCTTCCATCAGAACATCACCCTCTGCTACTGTCAAACAAGAGAGAGAGGGGGGAGGAGGGGAGAAGAAGAGACGATGAGGGGAGGAGAGAGAGAGAGACAAGGGAGAGAGAGAGAGAAAGAGAGAGAGAGGTCTCTCTCTCTCTCTCTCTCTCTCTCCCTTGTCTCTCTCTCTCTCTTGTCTCTCTCTCTCTCCCTTGTCTCTCTCTCTCTCTCTCCCTTGTCTCTCTCTCTCTCTCCCTTGTCTCTCTCTCTCTTGTTTGACAGTAGCAGAGGGTGATGTTCTGATGGAAGGACCGTTTGTTCCACGCTTCTCTCTGACCTTTGACCTGGTTTTAGGTCCGGTCAGATTAAATCTTTCCTGTTTGAGGTGAGTTAAGTTTCACTGAATTTTTTTATTTTTATTAAAAGACCAAACGACAAGAAATGTGGAAACTTAAAAAAATGTAAAGTTCCCTAAAAACTTCTTCTGTCATTATTTAAATATTTCAGGAATCCTAAACCAGAAGAGCTTTAGTCTGATTTAACCTCAGAGTGGTTTTATGTTAAAAGATGGATGTAAACTTCAGAGCTGAACTATATTTTGCTAACAGAGCTGTCTTCAGGTAGTTGATGGTAAAGTTTTAAATTGGTGGATCAGGTTCAGCTCCGCGTGTGTAGACGTTTAGTGTTTTTTGTTTCAGGGCTGCTGGTTGAGGCAGCCATCTTGAATCTGGACGACCCTCAGATGATCATCCAGTGATTTCTGTGAGCTTCGTTCAGCTCCAGCTGGATGGAGACTTCAGAATGTTGAAGAAACGTAGCCTCCTAACCTCATCCTTGTTGTGAAGTTCATCAAGTTAGTGAAGCTCGTACCTGGAGCCTCCAGGCTGCTCATGTTGATGGCCGGCCCTGCAGCCTGCCCCCCCTGAGCGCTCTTCAGCTGCTGCTCCAGACGCTCCAGCTGGAAGACCAGGGAGCTCTTCTCCGTGCCCAAGGCCTCCAGCATGGTCTGCTTCTGGATGAGCGTCTCCGTCAGCTGGTGGAGCCGGTTCTCTAGCTCCACCTGGCTGCTGCTGCTCAGAGTCTTGTTGGTCAGCTGCAGGACAAAAAACAAACAAACAAACAGAAGTGAGGCTGTGGACACGTTTCAAATGGCTCCACCAAAGCGTGGTAGGGTTTGTGTGATACACTCCACTGCCACAGCCGTTCGCCGCTTCAGCCGTTCGCCCCTTCAGCCGCTCGCCCCTTCAGCCGCTCGCC